GCCTCAACCTCTATCTGCAAATATGCATCCTTCAAGTCAATCTGTGAGAAAAATTTTCCACCGTTCAGCTTGGTGAAAATATCTTCAGCAGTGGGGAGTGGATGGTGATAATCCTCCAAAGCTGCGTTCAAGCCGGTAGAAAAATCTCCACAAAGTCTCATAGAACCGTCCTTCTTTTTGACAGGTACGACGGGTGCAGCCCATTGACTGTATGTGACCGGCTTCAGAACCGTCAAATCAACAAGTCGCTGGATCTCTTGTTCAATGGCAGCTTCCATTGAGAATGCAACACGTCGAAATGGCAAAAATATCGGCTGGGCGTCAGGCTTTACTGAAGCTCAGCTTTGGCCTTTGTGCACAAGCCTAAGCCGTCCTTAAATACGTTCGGAAACTTCTTGAGCAACTCTTCTTCGAGTGCAGATTGCTTGAGTGTGACCTTGTTAACACACAACTCATCAAAACAAGAAGCGAATTGTGGCAGCTGATCAATCGAATCAGGCCCCATCAAGCGAATGTTCTTGGTAACAGCATTTGCCTTGACCTTCAATGCCTTTCACTTTGAAAGTGGTATCGAAGCAACCTTTCACTTCAATTGGCCCACCATTGGCGGCACGTAGTTGTATATCAGAAGGCTGAAGTGGCGGACAATGCAATTTAGTCCACAAAACTTCATCAATCAGCGTTACGGCAGCGCCCGTGTCCAACTGCAAAGTAAAAGCGATGCCATCGATCGAAAGTTCAACGTCTTTGCGCGTTGAATCGACAGCATTGATGTGAATTATCGCGTTCACCTTCGGCTTCCACTGTTTATTTGCTTTTGAATCTCTCGGCCTCGAGAAATTATTTCCTTGGTTCTTTTCAGAACTTCCAGCGCGACACTCGGTACGCCAGTGTCCGCGCCTCCCACAATTATGACAGATGTCATTCCGCTTGTCAACTCGGGGGCGATCATTGGAGGTAGGCTGGGGCCGACCATTGCTAGAGGTAGGGCCTCGCTGTTCTTTCCACGTCTTTCGCGATCCCGATGCTTGGATCCGATTGATATTGGCATGTTGCTCGACAACAACATCCATGTTCAGAGTGGTTTGCAAGTCACACTCGCGTAGCAAATCGTCCAGCTTCACGTCATCCTTTGACTCCAGGATACGGATAAGCTTTTTGCGTATGTCGCGATGCGATTGATCGGATAATCCAGCGACGAAAAGTAAGCACTTTTCTTCATCCTCTTTCATCTCTCTGACGCGGCCCTGTTCATAGAGCTTGTTCACGCGAGCTGCGTATGAGCGCATATCCTCGTCGGCCTCTTTCGCAACGCGAAAGGCTTGGTATCGGCGGCTGAAAGCGACAGCTTTCACCGAATATTTCTGTCAAAAACTTGACAATGTCCTTGTAGTCGACCTCGGATAGCTCCTTGGGACGAGCGTGATCCGCCAGCAATCCGTATGCCTTAGCGTCCAGCATTCCGAGAACAAGGTGCTTTTTGTTCGCTTCGGAAATGCGCGGTTCGGTGGCCACGAGATTATTGAATCGCTCGTGCCACTTGTCGAAAGTAATCCCCTGGGACGGGTCATACTCGACCCGGCTGATGCGAGTGGCTAGGGCGCCGATCTCGACAGCATTCAGAGGCCTGGGTGCTTGGCTTGAATCTTCGCTAACGGAGCCCATGTGCGTTGGGGCCTCCGCGCGGATCTTCTCGAGCTCGGCCATCATCTTGGCTTCGCGCTCCTGACCGGCTTTCATCATGGCGGTCATCTCCTTCAGCATCGCCTTGAAGTCGGGGTCGTCCATCATCGTCATTGTTCAGCAGCACAAAGTCGAATCCTTGATCGCCAGTTGTTGTGGAGCTTGTTGGTGCGTGAGTTCTTGTCAAAGTGCTGGTCGCGATCCAAAGGGATGCTTTGCGATCGGACCGTTCGATACCTTGAGTGCCTGAACAACGTTGGGAGAACAAGAGAGTTTATTGCAGGATAAAAATATGTAACTCAAAAGAGTTATCGACAACACGGAGTTGCGGGGACAGGAAGAAGACTGAAAAAGAAATCAAAGAGGGCAAGCCGGCAAAGGGGTAGGGGGCGCACAGGAACAGGGGGCAGAGGAGTGTCGCGGAAAAAGGGTGGCGTAATAGGTTCACTTGTTTCTGGCGGTTCCTCCAACATAAAGTATTACTCAAGTTTTTCTCATAATAAGTTGAGAACTTTAAAGGCAGGCTAGCAAAGGTTCCTTCGGAAATCACCCCAAACCTCACATTTCGCCCTTTCATAATTAATTCGTACTTTCAACTCTTCCAGACACCTTTTTCCGACAGTTCAGCGACACAGCTGGAATTTTCTGAATTCATAGATTTCACTTCATTTTTTGGCAGCTGAAATTTAGCATTTTTCCGGGAAAATACCGTTCTTGTTAGTGGGCGGAAGCAGGCTTCACCTGGCTTTTGAGGGGGCTCAATTTCCAGCGGATTCCTGATTGTTAGGATCGAGGTTTTTGGTGTTAGCGTACAAACTCCGAAAGGCGTCATTTTTCTCCGAAGTTTTAGGGCTTAGCGCAGGTGTTTTTATGGGAAGTAATTTGGCTTCAACAATACATTTTGAAATTGCGTAGGCAGCTGGCCTAGGTAGACGTGAACTTAATAACACTGAGCTATCGAAAGCAAGTTGTACGCGGGAATCCACTTTACGGGAGCGGGCTGGGAGGGGCACTGACCAACGCGAAAATGGCATTATGTTGTGACATTTTTAGCATATAGATAGTAAAGTGTAGCACGAGAATTGGGTTTCTGCGCCAATTAAGTAATACGAATTTGGTTTGGATCGTAAAGGTCGTATAGTAAAAGGTTGTAGATCGGATTTTTTGGGATATGGTAGCTTTGACACTGTGGCACATTTTACTCCCCCCAGCCAGAATGTTCCGGCTAAAACTTTTTTATTTTACATTATTGTAGGCTAAAATTAAAGCTCTTGGAATATTTTGCTACGCTCTATCGAATGGCGTTGCAAGAAATCCCGACAAAATAGGCAAAAAGAGTGGGGGGGAGGGGGTAAAGTAAAGTCTTACCGACCCTGTATCCCATTGAATTTTCTTATTTTGGAAAATCATAGATGTGGCGGAAATTCGAAAAATGTATTCGGTGTGGCAAAAGGTAGCGGTTACTATAGCCGTTTTGCCGGCTAATAACTTTTTTAGCGAGGTGTAATTTGTTCCTGAAAATCTCTGGCTACGGTTTAGTTCTATGTATCATCCTTGCTTTTTTGATAAGTCTGACCTCCCGCTGAGAGATTCACCAAATCTCCCATGCGCCAATAATTTTTCAAAATTCGCGTAATGCAGACGCTGCGACATGTGAAATATTAATTGGTTGTGCGAGCCCCTCCCGATGAGTAAGCAAAAATGAAAAATCTCGTCAAAACCGCGAGAACACGGAACATCTGAGTCTAGTCTGGCTGGGAATGTTGCGATATTGTTTCCGTCAATGTGAGAAACCAGTGTCAGGGAGTACGAAACACAACAGTTACGTTCAAAAACATGTTTTTTTTAGCGTCACGTGGACCTTCAGAAGTCTAGAAGCTTGCAAAAACAATTTAATTAGCACGTAAAATCGTGAGAAAAGTATGATGTTTGAGAAAATAAAGTAAATTTCTTTAAAATACTATCAAGCTTAACTTAGAATTTTCTAAACTTGATTTTTCAGCGCTCCGGAGGTTATTAAACCTTCACCGTAATCGCCCAAGCCCGCTTCATTCTCCTCTTCTCTTCTCTCCACCCACAGATCTCAACCAAACTTCAAAAAGTACCAAAGTCGCCACCGAATTCCATCATATCCTGTCTCCCCATTCCATCAGCCCCCCCCCCCTGCAGTGCAGCAGCCTCCCATTAATGTGTGTATGCGTTGTGTGTCGTTCCATCCACTTCAGCCAAAATCAGCCTCCCCCTTTATTGAACAAGAAACATTTTGCGCTTTGCTTTTTGTGTGTGCCGGTAATAAAATGTTGGCCAATGTTAATTGGGATTTTAACGGGACAGGGAAGCAAAGATACAAACGGAATCCAAAGAGAGAGAGAGAGAGAGAGAGAGAGAGAGAGAGAGCGAGAAAAAGAAAGAGGAAAGATGTTAGCGAGTGAGAGAGAGACGGAGAGAGATACCGAAAGAAAAAGGAGATTTAGAGAGCGGGATTGAAAAACCTGGAGAGAGAGGGCACAAAATCCAAGATGATCTTTTGTACTACTGGGGGCAAAATTCGGAGCGAGACCCCTTGAACGTGGTTACGGTTTCAAGCATCCTATGGATTTTGCCTTTAGCTTTTAGCCTTCTTTCATGTGGATTTTTGGTTGTTTTTCCTTTTTCCTAATTCCTACGCGAAGCCAAGTGTACTAAACTATACTTCCGCTTTCCCTGCCCTTTTTTGGTGTTTTCTGCAAAGATCAAGTAATTGCAATCATGAAAGCCGAGATTCTCGGCCCGTTCGCCACCAGCTAGCAACGTGCTCTTTCCGTGCCGACCATCATCCGCCTTCCACTCTTTCTCCTCGACATCGGCAATAATGCCTTGGCCGCGGGGGAAATGGCAAAATTGGCAAACAAAAATCCCCTCGGGCTCAGAGCCGAGCCGTCAGAGGGGTTTCTGTGTAGCTCGCCGCAAGCAACCAAATACCCAATGGCCCGTCAAAAAGTCGAACAGGGCGTTGGGAGCCCGGAGGAGATTTTTCGATTCGTAGTGGACAATGAATCAGCTTTTAGTAGGCAGGCGAGTAGCTTCACGAGGTAATAATAGCTTTATTATCAAAATGTACATCAAATTCAGAATGTGACCCGTACTTTGAGAAGGTAAAGACACAAGGAAAACACGTAGGGAAATGTTGAGCCAGAGCATGCTATGTACAACCGCATTATTAAATTCAACAGTAAGGGGGTCAGTAACAAAAATCGTGAAGAGCAGGAATCGGTAAAATGAACTGAAAAATGAGCAACAGATTCAGCAAGGACGGAGCAAACTAGGGCACAAATTCAATAAAACCGTTCAGAGTACCTCCTCGGCTGCCCCCGGACGTCTTCATGACTGCTCCAGAGGGCTGATTGATTTCGGAGTTCACGCTCACGAGCCAGTTGCTCAGCGTGTTCCAGGATTGAGACCTAAAAAGAACAACAATATTATTATTTTTTTGGCAGCAATGCAAATGCAATAGCCTGCAAGGAGCCTGACTCAAATCTGCCAGGATATCTCAGTATTAAAGACTCAAACAGCTTGATGAGCAAGGGCTGCATGGCTGTCGTTACGCGTTTAAAACCTTTGATTTGTGGGTTCGAAATCCACTAATAAACTCTGCTAGCCTACGTTAAATAATACTAGCTCTGAAAAACTTGCATATTTAAAAGAACCGTGACAGGAGACCCTGTTCTACGTGTCATACTCCCTTTAAAACCTTATCCGCCAACTTACCTGTTTATTAACCTTCTTCTTCGCAAATGGAAAAGCTATCCCACTGGTGCTGGTCTTTGAAATTTTTGCACGCTTGGGCGCATCCTCCTCCTCAGTCGACCCGATCCTCGCGATCGTCTGGAAATGCAGAATTTGATTCCGTGGCCTTCCAAATTCCACAAATTTTCGTGTAGAGGGCACGGCGTGACAAATCGGCGTCTAGCCCTTTCCACCAAACCTCACAATTTCTGAACGGGATCAAATTCTTTCGATGCGAGAGAAGAGAGCGAAAAGAACCGCGCTACGCTAACAACCCGAAAAATTGGCGGAAATAATTTTGGTCCGGGCATCGAATTTCAGCGTAGGCGAATCCGAGGGGGCGATTGAATTCGGAAATGCCAAAATTGGCGGTTCGTCATTCGGTGGAGGTAATTTGACGTTTTTACGTATGGGAATTCGCGAATTTACAGAAAAGTGAGGCATAGAACTGCGACTACGGTCTGGATACGGTAATACCATTTGGGCACGGTCAGTAAGCTTTTGAGGATTACGCTGTCTTTCGCTCTCTTGATATCTCATTTTATCTATTTCTCGCTCTCTCTCTCGCCCTTTTTAGCTCTCTCTCCCGCTCTCGTACTATCTCTTCCTCAACCTGGGTCTCACCATCTCTGACCTTACGCCTTAAATGCCAGGAAGGCGAATCCAAACCTGTTGTATGCTCATCCCCTGCTCCGGAGCACCAACACCTTCCGCTTTTGCCTTGAGGTGAACCCACAACATGGCCAGAAAAGCCAAGCTTTGCAGAGCAGCGATGAGGAGGAAGGTGAAGCCGGGCAACCAGGAAACCTAAAGGTTATTTTAAGGCATTTTACGACTTTGTAATGCTCCGGTTGATACTTCGCCGGGCGCTAAACATAAAAACAAAAAGCCAGTTTTTCAAAGAACCAGTTGATAAAAAGATCAACCTTGCTTGATTTTCATAGCTTGCCCCGGCTCTCTCTCTCTCTCTCTCTCTCCCTCTCTCCCTCTTTCCCTGCCTTTCTCCGCTCCTTTCCGGCTCAACCCACCGTCCAGCGATACACATTTGTGTAAAGTGCTGCCGTCAAAATAAACGCCGCATCAGCGCCGATGCCAAACAGGGCAAAAGTGCGACCAATTTCTGAGCCGGCGACGACCTGGAATTAAAAGACTTGGAAGATCAGGCACCAAACAATCAAATACTAAGCACGAGTTTGAGCTCTTCAAATTTCTGAACTGCTCCTTGGGAATGATCAGGTCGACTGAACATTTGATTCTTCGACTCAAAGTCGAGGATAGTATTTTGTTTTGCCTCGTGCTCCTTGGCTCCCCAAATTCCGGACCTGAGTCATAAACGAGACGACGGCCGGCTGGACCAACCCGGCGAAACAGCCGACCCCGTTTGCCGCATACATCATCCAGTCATTTACGGCGACTCCTGAAATAGCAACATACCATGATGGACGCCGTGAAATATGGAATAATCTGGATTTGATAAATCAGGGTTTACAAGAAGTCTGGGAATATCGGAAAATGGAGGTCGCGCTGAATCAAGCTCTGTCAACCTCGCTCAGCTTTGGATCAGATCTAGCTTTTGCTAAGGTTTTTTTCTTAAGTTTAAAACGTATAAATCCAGAAGTGTCGAGGAATGGAAAGAAATGAATCATGGCTTGGACTTTGGATTATTTCGGCGTAAATTGGATTTCTGCTAAAAAATGTCAGATCATGATTTCCTGCGTTCATACTTCGTAAATGTTGAAAAGTGCAGAAATTGTCAGGGCTTTCAAACAAAATAGCACCCAAATCCCATAAATTACGACACCAAGCTTGCACTCCTTTAAAAAAATGATGCCGCAACAACGACCCGACCCAAGGCTTCGTTGATCCCAACTACCTAGGTCATGGAGAATATTTTGAGTTCGAACCTCCTTCGATTTTATTTAGCAACACAAAATTAGTTATTTGATTTTTACCAATTATAATCGTCCTCAGCGTCGACGAAGCAATTCCAATCAGTATCAAAGTTGTCTCCCGGAAGTTCATCCACTTTTTAAAGACCACCAGTCCGAACAGCGTTCCAAAAATCACTAAAAAATATATGAAAATGCGCTCTTTTTCAAGAAATCCAATGTTTTGCAAACTCCAAACTTAATCAACTTACGCATCAAATACCCGGTCCCGTTCCAATAACCCAAATCTTTGGTATTCCAGCCCAACGCTGTTGTTTCGGTACGTCGGAATACGTAATTGTTGATGACGGAGCCGATGCCGGCTGAAAAAACCGTAAATGAATTTTTAAAATTTGTCTGGTTCCGGAAGCACAAAAGTTTGAGAAAACCAAGAAATGCGAGAAAACTGACTGGTTCTTGTCTCGACTTGGGTGGTATAGGTGAGCATCAGCACGATGACGGTGATGAACATGAAGGCTCGGCGATGACCGACGCGTTTTCGTCTGTAGGTGTGTAGACAATCCTGGAAATCAAAAATGGTATTTGCTAGCCTGCCGCTAGAAATCACAAAGTTTCTTTGTTTTCGTGAAATGGTCGGATATATTGTGCTCATTAACTCTCTCTCGTTCTTGCTCTTTGCTCTTTCTTTAGATCTCTTGCCCTCTTTCTCTTGCCCCACTCTCATTACCCCTCTCTCTCTCCCTCTCTCTCTCTCTCTCTCTCTCTCTCTCTCTCTCTCTCTCCTCTCACCTTGTACAACATGACGACATCCCCCACGAATCCCTTCACCTTCTTCACGCTGGATTGTGACGTGATGGTGGTCACTAAAACGTTCAGACGTGGATCCGGTTGGTTCCTGGTTTTTTCGTCATTTTCGCTGGCGGGCTCATTTCGATCATCGGCTTCTCATTTTGCCGGAAACAATTAAGGGCATCCGGTGGTGGGACCGGCGCCAGAAGACCGGGTTAATGAAACTTTTCTGCAGGGAGGTTTTCAAAAGCGAGTCTTAGGACGGAAGGCACGAAAAATCAAAGTATAGTTTTCGCGAGTTTTGCTAGTATAGTTAGAATTAAGAGTGTTTGCTAGTTTTCGTGGGGTTTTCAGAAAATTGTACATGCCAGGGTGGCAGGTAGAAAGCAACAGAGGAAAAAGAGGGATAGAGAAAACGTGAGAGAGCGTTAGCTACGTAAGGCTACTTAGAATCCCATAACGTACCTCGATTCCTCCGTTCCAACTCCTGCAACCCTGGATTTTGCGGAATCCGAAATAGCGTATAGAGAAATCCCAAAGCGATAAATGCTAGTTCGATATCGATCGCTGTCGAGATTCCTATCTAAAAAGTAGAATTTTGAAGGTATCCCAGCCCTTTGAGGAAGCCGAAATGTACAGTAGTATTGTAAAGTAACGCACTACTACTGGACGAGCTTGAAAATCGCATTTTACGTGTTTTTGAAGTCTTTACTGGCTCACCTGATCATGTATCAACCCTGCCAGTATACCTCCCATCACTGAAGCCGTAGTCTGGAGTACAGAGAAAATGCCAGAGCGGATGGTGAGTTCGGTTGGATCTTGGGAGATGTCAGCAAGATAGGAGTAACATGAGACGGGGATCTGAAACAACAACAAACTGCAGTAGACAGAAAAACTGGCTGGCTCGGTTCCTTTAAAGCGGCCACCACCCAGGAATTCCAGTTTTACGTATTTTTAAGACTCGGAATATTTTAGGACATTTTTGTCAGGTTCCAGCAGCTCCAATTCTGTGCCTTCCAAGTCCCTTTAAAAGACATAACCTTACCATGGCTACATATCCCGTAAATCCGGCAAAGATTCCGATCAACGTGGTTGTCCAGTAGGGTGTTGCCGCCGAATTTGATAGCGTAAGCATATAGCCATATTCGGTGACGAGAAGACCACAGATACCCAACAAAATGTTGATCTGACGGCCATGCCGATCTCCAAAAGCGCCTGAATTTGATAAATCAACTTTTTTTAAAGATTTAGGATATGAAACAGGGTTGAAAAGCCGCTTCGCGACTTTTCAACCCTGGCCCCGTCTTGGACCCCATGCTATTCCCCCCTTTGCATAATTGTCTTCATTCAGAAGGCAAAAAAAATGAAAAACAACCGCTTCTGCCTCTTTATATAGACGACCGCCCACTTCCGGTCTATGCTAATTATTCCTAACAAACAGGTTTTTACAAAGACCTACATTTAATAGCGAAAATGGCTAATTTTTCAAAATCTGATATGTGTGCAGTCATTCCTAGACCATTACGCACCTAATAACGTATCGAACCTAGCCTAATACCCGTCCCTTCATGAGATATCCTCTGGACAGACAGACGGAAGTGGATGCAAAGTGGCACAGACAGACACACACACACAGACACTATTTTTTTATATATAGTAGGATAAACCATTTTAAAGGAATAGTGCATGCATGAAAAATCAATGTTTTCCACTTACCTAATAAAGTATCCGCAAAAATGGCCGGAACTAAATAGGACAACGAGTTATACAAACTCCATTCCGCGGAATGTTGCTGGACGTTGTCTTCGATCGTGTGATTACTAAAATATTTTCTAAATTCAGACAGCACTTTTAAAATAATTTTTTAAATTTTTAAAAACTGCCAAGTTATATAGCAGCCTTATCTAAAGAAAACATACTTCAAATCCCAACAATCGACCGCTGGGTCATCACCATAGTAAATTTGGCAGATCCTGAAAGGTTAAAATGTTTGTAGCGCAGAAACGATGTCCTTACCTTCGATAAATCTGGGGTGATTGCACCGTGTTCCCAAAAACATATCCAAAATACACAAGTACAATGATTGGCTCGACGCTCAGGCGCCGAAAAAATAGCCCGACGTCGACGCAAAATGATTTCAATTTTCCGCGCTTCATCTGAAGGTACTTTACACATTAATCATAGGCCTGAGTAAAAGAGAAACATAGAAAAGAGAAAACAAGTAAATATTAGTTTCCCAATTAAAAAAGCATCTGAAAGCTCCATCAAACGGAAACTTGATTGAATGGAATATTTTTATCGTAACGTGAAATAGAAAACTGCCGGGGAACCCCGAAATTCCGTTGAAATGAGCCATCAATTGCGTCTTGCTCAACGTTTTGAATCGCCCTCCGCGCCAAAAAACATTAAACAAAAGTGTAGGAAGTGTGAATGGGCCGATGACCGGTCAAAAAGCAAAAACGAAACAGAGGACAGAAAAAGCAGCTGATCAAAGTCTTTTCATCAGTTTTGGGCCGTTGATAGCATTTGAAAAGCAAACTTAAGCGAACACCTCACTTCCCTACAGCAACGATAAAATTTCGATGATATCAATTAACCAATTAAGCTAACTCCTGGCTAAAGATCAACTAGCTAGCTTCTGGTAGCTTTATCGGGGGCATGGAGGCTGTAAAAAGCCTTGTTTTTGCCGGGGCAAGCAACTGATCTGGAGAGGCGAAGGGGAAAGCGCGTCCGGTTTCTGGTAAATTTTTGTTTGGAAATCTTGGCAGATATTTCATCGAATTTCGGTCCTAACCGATGGCAGAATTTCGCAAGCGGTCGGTTTTGTGCCAGGAATCGAATAAAAGTAGTAAATTTTGAGGCTAAAAATTTCATAAAAACAAAGCTACAGCTAGCAAAAACACTTAATTAGAATCAATTATGCAACAAAACGTTTCAAGCAAAAAGGCCATGTAAGAATGACACAAGGAAAAATTCAACCCAAGAATTAAAAAAAAAATACTGAAAAACAAGCCAAGCAAGTAGCCACGTGCACGTCAAGGTCAAACAAATCAAGGAAATCGAAAAGCCAAGGGTTCAAAAGACCGGAAGTGATGAGAGACATGTTTGAAAATGTTGAAAAATTTCAAAACGAACCGGACACTGAACCGCCAAACAGCTAACAAAATCAGAAAGGATTATCCGAAGTAAAATCAGACCGAAAGTGACGAGATGAAATTGCTTGAAAATGAGGAAATAATTAAAGTGACGGGGCTTAAATTAATCAATGTCATTCAGTGTGTAATGAAATCACCCTTCCTTTCATGCCGATCAGACGGTCCATCAACTTCCGATGGTTGTCTAAAAGGGAGTGAGGCTTGTCGTTTGTGGCCAATCAACCCAAAAAGGGACCCGCCAAAAATTTTGGAAGATAACAGCGTCGATTGTGGTGCTTGTGCTGCCCTTGTTTGCCCCGGCTGTGGAAATGACGCATCCCGGCAAATTGGACTTGCATTCCGATGAGATTGCACGTGGCTGATGGGGAGGGTAACTTACGGGATTGGATACCTTAGTTAAGGGATAATGAAGAGCCAGTTATTAACATAAAATCACTAAAGTTATGTTGTACAGGATAAGTGCAGCTTCACAAATTCGTTTTTAGCAAATGAAATCGACGTTTTACCAGAGAGATGATAAAATTCTGCTTTAGTTTTAGTTAGCCAATTCTAATTTCTAGCTATTAAGTATTTAAAGTCATTAGTTATCTGCCCAGAACGCCATTAGCGTCTAAGGGACACGGCAAGTTTAAAGGGGCTCTTTCAACAGCGTAGTTTTCCATGATACGTTCAAAAATTTGCGTGCATTTCCGGGTAGAGAGCACGCCCTTTTGAGAGACACAGACATCTCGCAAGCAAATTTTTTCCACGATTCATGGAAAAATTGAACTGCTGAAAGTGCCCCTTTAAAAGTAAATTTTTGGAGAAGCGGAATATGTCCAGTAGTGGACCTTCGAAGTCATAGTGATTTTTAGTAATGCCATTTCCAAATCGTAGCTTACTGTATTGTTCATTAAAACCTTCTCTTTTTTGGAATTTCCATGCCTGCTAAATTTAATTTGTATATAAGCTTTGTAAATATCTCTAAAAATATGTATGTTCAAAATCAAAACATGATATCATGTTCTAGCTGAAGGGAAATCCTTTCGGGAACCACACAGCCGTCAGCAATGACTTTTTGACGTAGCGAGGTTCAGGATTTGCATACATTTTGTGAGGTCAACGAAGCAACATGTGTTCGATTTTGTTCGAATGAACGAGAAACCAGTTGGGAAGATCAATTAAATGCAGCCTCAACTTTTTAGAGAAAAAGATGAAATAATACTTCCGATCAGCAGCCACCGGGGCCATCTCCCATCTGTCGAAGGCCAAAAACTGATGGCAAACATTGAGTCAGTGTCCGGCCTCTGTCTGGCCGCCGATTTTTGTGAATGTTTTTCGGACGGCACCTCTAAGGATACACAGCATTCGGATGTTTTTAGCTAGGAAAAACTATACAAAAAGGAGCTAAAAACTAAAGGAAAATTCTAAAATTTAGCAATGCTGAAATCAAAGTTTTGTCAGTTTTTGTAGTCAGTTCTCTTCTTCTTTTTTTTGCAAGAAACCATGTAGGAAATATGCATTTATTAAATAAATTTATTGCCACGTCATGGCCAGAAAAATGTCGGTGTTGTCGGTGTTTTTTGGCCATTTATGCCTTCGGGGTGGTGGGGAATCCCTTGAAGTCAGGGCGTCCGGAGCCGGTGAAGCGCTGAAAAAGATACGGTCTCGCCTCACAACCGCCCATGGGTTCGGTCCGGATGGCTGAAGGGAAAGGGCGTACTGTACGTGTTGTTCGCGCGTTGCGTGCGGGTGCGCGGAATAGCAACCGATTTTTAGCTGCGCAGGCCTGCTTTCGCAATTGCGCGACGCGTCTATCGCCCGCGTTGCGGTCTTCCCTCCTTTCCAAAGCTACCGGACGTTTTATTAGGAGCCGAGCCGCTGTGGCCTTCGCTTTTCACCCGATCTCTCTCTCTCTCCCTCTCTCTCTCTCTCTCTCTCTCTCTCTCTCTCTCTCTTTTCTCTCGCTCTCTTTTTCCCTCGCGCTTTCTTGCTTTCGCTTTCTCTCTCCCCTAGGAACTTACTCCAAAATCAGGGCGTCCCGATCCGGTGAAGGGAGCTCCGGAGAAGCCGTGGTGGCCTCCCGGGTGTCCGCTGACTAAAACAAGGCGGGTTTAGAGGGGTTGGGAAGCTAAGCTGAAGACTTTTGAGTTTAAGTTACACCTCAAAACAACCCACAGCCTCAAGGGGGTCCGGAGAATCCTTCGGGCTTCTCGTGGCTGCCGGCGCTGACCGAGAAGACGAGGGCCATGATGGCGAGCAGGACAAGGGTGGCGCAAGATTTCATTTTTTTGGGTTTTTATGGGGAGTGGATTAATCGACCTGAAACAGTGGACTATTCGAGTTAGAAGTAAAAGTATTATAAGCGGAAGTTGAAGCGTATCAAAATCTTTTTAAAATAATGGCCAAAATCAATTTCTGTGAAATTTTCAACACAATTAGTGTTAGCCTACCTAGAATATATGTAGGAAAAGTACAGTAAGAGAGATACGGTTTGAGTAAGTATAGCTTGCCGTCATGCTCCATTTAGCCTAAAAAAGGGCTAGGAAAAAAATCGAGTGCCAAAAGCTACAATATGACATTCTT